TTTTTTTTTTTTTTTTTTTTTTTTTTTTTTTTTTTTTTTTTTTTTTTTTTTTTTTTTTTTTTTTTTTTTTTTGGAAACCGAATTTCCGTCCTTTCTTCATTGAAAAGTTAACAAAATCAATATGCCAAAGAAAGTTACTAAAAAGGGTCGAGACGAGATCAAGAACCAAACTTTAACGCAAAAATCAATTTCGTCAATCATCTCGTTACATTTATCACAATTTCAACGCACCTACGATATTATTCCCACCAATCTTTCTCTCGAAAAACTTTTGACTCCTTCTCACACCAAACCTTCACGCAGAAATAAATTTTCATTACGCTCTCCAAACGGGTTCATCCTCTACCGAAAAGATATTCAACAAGCAATTATTGAAAATGATTCAAATGCGACATTTGAAAAAATTTCCAATATTGCATCAGAAAGATGGAAAAGCGAGTCGGAGGAGAAAAAGAATTTTTTTAACTTGTTGTCCAAAGTCGCATATCTTATTTATTTGGATATATGTGAGTATTACGTGAGACAAGATAAAGAACGAAAAAAAGAAAATATAAAAATTGATCGTTGCGAAATGAATAGACCATGGATGCAATCTTCAATTTTCCCAACCATGTCAATTTTGCCAAATTCTCTCCATTATGAAGAAGCAACCGATAATGTACTCATTGAATCTAATCCAACTTTAGATCATTCATTTTATGATAAAGATATTATTCAAGAAGTTTCTACAATTTCATCTGAAAATATTGATCAGCCCATTTCTCATTCAACCGATTCTTTAAATTTTAATCCTTCATTCTTCTCAAACGTAAATGAAAATTCCGCGAGTTATCATAGTAATAATCATCAAGTTTTGGAAATCCCATCTATATCTGACTTTCCCTGTCAAATGCCTTCATATTGCGCTAATGAATATATTATGAATCTCAATTATGAAAATAATGCGTACATTTTTAATCAGGATTCTTCTTTAGTTTTTCAAGAGAACATTGATAATAGTATATTATATGATGTTAGTAGCGTTATTGATAGTGCGATTGATGAAACCTCTCTGAATTAATACCATCACTTTTTTTTTTTTTTTATTTCCGTTTCCTTTTCTCATTTTCTCTTTACCTTTTCAATATGATTTATTTACATTATATAATAAAAAGACATGATAATAACCAAAACAAACTATTTTTATTTTTTCCGTGCTATAGTGCTTCTTATAATCTCTGCGTCCATGATAAATCGAAAGTTGCAAAAAAAATTAATGCTTTTTTCATTGATGGATAAATTTTTGATTTGTGGAAGCTGTAGATCATCCTTCCTAGTAAACTTCATTCCAAATTAGGATAAGTCATAGCGCAAGGTGAACATTGGGGAGATTAACTTTAATCAATCAGTCATATGATCACATGCATAGAAATTCGCCATTTTTTTTGCAACCATCAGATATTTTTTAGTAGAAAGCGAAATGGCTCATTTTCCACATCTCAATTATAATGAACTTATCCCAGGTAGCGGAGGAATTTTGACCTATGTGTATAGGTGGAAAATTACAAACTGGAGCGAAATACGACCTTATATGGAACATACCAGTACACCTTTTAGTGCCGACGGTTTACAGTGGTCGGTATCGATTTAATTTATTATCTTCCATATCTTTAATTCAAGTTAGTATTAAATGATTAAACAATTAAAATAAACTTGATTATCAAGGGTTTTTAAGGTATTTCATCTGCTAATCATATGTATATCTTTTAATCCTTTCATCTAAATTTAACAATTATCATTTTTTCTATTATTAGTTCTATAAGGGACGACAGAAAAACCCACAGGTATATTTATTTGTCTTAACAATAATCGAAGTATTACTTTTGATTTTAATTAATCATTCGTTATAATGATGTTGTGTGTAAAGGCTTTGTCATTATATTTAGGAATTTTAGAGACAACACCGGGATGTCTTCGTGGAATTAGGAAAAAAGTCAGTATCATCTTTGTATTGGAGAACTTGAGAACGAAAGGAATGGATTTCGGAAAAAGTATGTTTAACGTAAGAATTAGAATTACTCTTTAATACGTTATCAGTTTTAAGCTAACGATCTCTAAAAAAAAAAAAAAAAAATAATAATCGTGTTCCTTTGGAACGATAAGTGGAGTTGCCTGTTTGGTTTTGTGATAGTACGTATATGTTAAAGTACGTAGTTGAGAATTTTATCACATGATTCATACATATATAATTAAATATTTTGGTATGATTTAGGACATTCCACATGGGGTGAGGAAAATCTTACGTCGCTAGATGAAATGGACAGGTGATCAAAAGTTTTTTTTTTTCTTTGTTGTTTAATTTACATTGACGTAATTTTATTTAATAGATTTATTAGCAATGATACGGTATCCTTATGTGTAAAATTTGAGATTCAGGAATCTATTGTAGATTCACCACCAAAAATTAGCAATACATTTGATAAACTAGTAAACTCTCCACGTTTTTCAGATGTCACATTTCGCGTAATTGATGATAATTTTCGCGAGAAAGTATTCTACGCGCATAAAGGAATTTTAGCAACTAGTTCTCCGGTATTTGAAGCAATGTTAACAAACGGAATGAAGGAATCTTTTGAAGATGAAATTAAATTATGTCAAGCAAACCATTCGGCGTTTCTTTCTTTGTTAACTTTTATATATACTTCTCATGTAAATATTGTGTCTTTACGTAACGCGGAAAATTTATTGGAATTAGCTGATAGGTTTGAGATTATCTATGTGCGAGAGGAATGTTTGCGTTATTTCCGTTTAGAACTGAACGTTGATAATGTATGGGGAATTTGGGCCATTTCAGGTAAATTATTTAATCTTTATCTTAATATAAATTTTATATAATACCATTCCAATCATAATATATTCATTTTTTGCTTTATACAATTACTCAACATTTCAAACTATTGATGTAAAAAGAAAAATATTGTTGTGCTAAAACATCATCAACATGTCGTGATTTTGTCGCATTGTATTTCGATAATCTTTTGGATAACTCATCTACGTTACATGCTGATCCAAATATTTTGCAACTTGCACTTGAAAATGATGAAGCAAATGTGAATTCTGAAGAGAAAATTTATGAACTAGTTGTACGTTGGGCGAATCATTCATCCTCTTTAGATCCAAATGTACCGCCGTCGGAGAATTCTTCAACCATTCAGGTTGATGATTTACCACCACCATCTCCTTCAACTTCAACTTCAGCATCAGCATCAACATCAGCATCAGCATCGATGCCATCAGAACTGCCCGAAACTTTTGAAGATGATCCAAATGACATTCAGTGTGCTGACACTACCGATGAGAATCTTTATGAAACAGAAAATGACGATTCAAATAAATTTCCCAAGCCATGGTGTGGCGATAGACTTGCAGCACTTCCTTCTTTATTGAAATGCGTTCGATTTCCTGTGATGAAAAAACAATATATTTATGAAGAAGTCGAAGGAAATCCTATTGTAATGGCAGCAGATGGGATGAAAGATCTGGTGAGAATTATAATCTTTTTATGATTGTCCTTTTAATAATTTTTTTTTAAAGAAATTTTAAATGTATTGAAAAATATATTTAGGTAATTGAAGCATATCGACATCTGTTATTGCCTGATGTTACAAATTCTACTAACAGAGTTAAACACCGAAAACGTAAGGGGAGCGGAAAATATTGATACCTAATCAATGAATGGAATTGCCACCAACTTCCCCAATTTATTTCAACACGTGAACTCTGTTAAGCGTTCATTTTTTTTTCCTGAATTTGTAAAATAAATAAATTAAATTTCTTAATACGGTAACTCTTTACACGTGATCTATAATTATTAAAAATGAGACAAATAAGGATTTGCCACGATAACCTAAAACCTTTGGCGTGACTATCAAATAATTGGTTGCGATATAAAAACTGGAGATTTCAAAGCAAAAAAAGTTTTTGACCAACGGTCCTATCCTATTTATTTATTTTTTTTTTGATTTTATAAGTAATGGCGATTCCTGTCGAAGAATGGTATTATGAAGTTCCAATAGTTACAAGAACGTACGTGACTGCTGCTGTATTAACGAGCTTAGCCGTGGTATGTAAAAGTTTCAAACGCTTGGAAATTATTAACAAATAAATTTAATTTGTCATTTTTTTTTTTTGGTTCAAGCAAGTAGGTTTTGTAAATCAATTTCAACTTTATTTCAATTTTGATAAAACATTCTATGATCGCCAGGTAAATTTTTTTTTTTTTTCCTTTCCAATTACATATTTTTTTGTACATGTTGACAATGATTTGAATTTAATAATAATTTATTATTTTGTTAGTATTGGCGATTGATAACGACATTCTTATACTATGGACCATTTTCACTTGATTTTTTATATCACATGTTCTTTTTGTATCCTTAATTATCATCATTTTTTCCTTAAAAAAAAAGCATTGAAATCTTTTATAATATTATAAACCTTGACGATTAAATTCTCATTGACAATAAGAGTAAGATACAGTAGAATGTTAGAAGAAGGATCATTTCGTAATCGTACAGCTGATTACTTTTGGTTATTTTTCTTATCGGCAGTAGCACTTCTAGTTAAGCATCTTAACTTTATTTATTGATTGGTTTATTATTATTATTTTAAATTAACATCTCGTTTACTTTTTTTTTTTTTCCTTCTCATTTAAAGCTTTTATCACCATTATCAAATGTCCCATTTCTTGGGTATTCACTTGCATTTACATTAGTATATATATGGTCGCGAAGAAATCCATTTATAAGGTTAAATTTTGTTGGACTATTTGTATTCAGTGCACCATTTTTACCATGGGTATTGCTTGGATTTTCCTTGTTATTAAATAATCATTTTCCAATGAGTGATATGATGGGCATTGCTGTTGGTCATATTTATTATTTCTTTGAAGATGTTTGGCCATTGGAAAGAAATAGTGGCGGTAGACGTTGGTTAAAAACTCCCCAAATCATGTAATTATTATTATTATCTTTATTTTTTTTTTTTTTTTTTATTTTGATTTCATTTTATCTTTTTTTACAATTAAGACATTATTAATTTCTAAAGTACTTTCCCCATTTCCAAGTGTACGATTGTTTGATAGAATTCAAGAGAATCCAGCTGTACAACAGGAGGAAAACAATCTTGTATTTGCTGATAATGAATTTAATCGTGGTGATCCTAATACTATAGAAAATCAACCTGGGATAATGGAAGGTGAAATAGCTCCTGATCAATAATTAGCACACGAGTATTTTTCAAAGTGGAGAAATAATTATTATCGTATATTTATTTGTTAGTATTAAAAAAAAATACCATGACAATGAATCAAAACAATTATTATAGTTATAATATCAATTGAAAGGCATGAACAATATTAAAAATGGATTAAACTGAACACGTATTTGTTTACGTTAGGAAGGAAAAAAAATTGTATAGCATACATTATTTACGTAATTCTTACTTATTTTAATAATTAGAGATTGTGATTAAGAATATAATTACAATTAAATTTATTCAAAAATAATAAAAAATAATAAATAACCTTATTTAATTTCTTTAAATATCTTATACAATTTAGTGTTTAGAAAAATAACGTCAAAAAAAAAGACATCTATCTATACTATATAGTGTTTTAGAAACATATCAAAATTTGATTATTTAAAAAGGTTGAAACGTTTCCAATTGTTCCAAAAAGCTAATTTCTTAAAGTCTTAGCGGTACCATTGGTGGCATCCCATCATCATCTCTTGATCCATGATGAGCATGCCCTCTAACAAATCCACGAATTTGTCGAGATGGTGTTTTTTCCTTTTGTTTTTCTCCATGAGTATGTTCTGCATCGTTACAAATTGGACATTTCGGTGGGTTATTCAGAGAATTAAGTACAATGTTGTGCCGAACTTTTGATCCAACTAACATTCTACTGTTACTGTCGGGTGGATTAGGTAAAGTCTCGTTACTTAAAAGACATGCTTCATGAAAAGCATGACTGCAAAAGAATACAATTGTAGTTGAAACAGAATCGGAGGAGATAGCTGTAGATTTATGTCGTTAGTAAGAATTCTTATTGTCTTAATAAATTTTGACAATAATATTTATTGAATATTTACCTTCTTTAATTATAGGGATAGAACAAATAGAACAAGTCAAATCATCTAAAAATGTGAGAGAGATAAATAAGTAATATACTCAAAATAATATACATTGAATATTAGGGTAATGAGATAGAGATATATAAAAACCTTCGCATTTGATGCCACGCTTTTGCGCTTTATTTAGTTGATCAGCCATGGATACACTATCACTCACTAAGATTTTCTGACATCCTTCCCTTAAGGATGCCTAAATACGTCAAATAAAAATTATTAAGGTATAATAGAAAGAAGATTTAAACTGAATATTAAAAACAAACCTGTAAATTGAAATCTTGAAGAACTTTAATTAAAGCTTCTTTAAGACCAGGAATTTTCAGCCTATTAGGGATTCTCTTAATCAACCCTATCGGATCGATATTAGTGCCTCCAAGGTTTTCCAATAATCCGATTATGAATCCTGCATACAATTTCATAAGAGAAAGAATTTTAGTTGGACATTTCATAAATTCACAAAATTACATGATGCAAACGTAAATTAAATAAATATAAATATGACATTACTCGGTTTATCTAGTGAATATTTTAATAAATCTTCCCATAATATGTCATCATCTTGTTCTTTTGCAAAATCAATTGCCTAAATTTGGAAATATGTTAGATACCTTCAAAAAAAAAAAAAAATTTACACACCTATCCTCAAATATCACTAATTAACTCGACTTACTTGCTGAACGTCATGTAACCTTTCAATAATTAACATAAGTGCCTCTTTATTATTGCCCATGCGACCAAGTATGAATACCATTTCTGGAACCAAGTCTCTCTGTTCACATACTTTATATGCCTGAATATAAAATACTATAAAATTAGTATACAATTTAAAATTTATTTAATATCAAATAATTAAGTTGTCATTCATACCTTTTCCAAGGTATAATAATTACTAGATTTCAAAAAATCTTTCAATCTAGGATAATCAAATTCAGCATACAATTCAATTTGAAGGTCATGAAATTCGTAACCCGCATGATGATCTTTTATAAAGAGAGCATCCAAATATATGTGCATAAAGTTGCGTTTGTTCTCCAGTTGACGTACAACGTGAGCGATCTAGTTCAATCGGCGATAAAGTGAATCATATATCGATATTCAAATAAAAGTTATTTTGAATTCTTACCTTAACATCATCAGTATTTTCTATTAACAATTGCACCGCTGGCATCTCAGTACGCTTCTTTCGTTTAATCTTGACAGAAGGCTTACTTGGATCCTGATTTAATTTTGCGATCTCTTCATCTTGTACCTTCATAGCCTCTTCAAACAAATGTTGATCGAATTCCATAAGCAGAAAAACTTTGTCTTGGACTGCTGAAAATAAATTATATTCTCGTATTAAGTCAAAGACGTTAGGCCTAAGCAATCGGAGATTATATTCAAGAGCTTTGTCTGGTTGGCGATTATAAGCGTATCTGGAATGGAATAAAGACAATCAATCGTCACTTGTAAATATCATTTATAATTTTGAAATAATTTCAATAATTCGATTCTTTAAGAACCACGATAACGTACAATTCGGCCAAGCATTCCATCAGAATTTTATTGTCCTTTTCTTTTTCAAAAATACCTTCAACAAGGACGATAACACTTTGTATATCATAAATATCCGATGGCCAACTCATTATTGTCTTTAGCAAAGCCTGTAATATAAATAAATAAATAAATAATATATTGGAAAAATAAATTATAATCATTATCAAGGCTACCTTGTGGTCATAATTTAAGAAGTGAGCCAAAACCATTTCGTAAACTGTGCTACTAAGTTTTGGGTCTGTATACGGTATATAGGGACTAATTTCCTGAATAAAATATGAGGCAACGAATTTAATAAAATGGCTAAATCTAATTAATAATCATACCCTTTAAATACTTACATGCAAGTGCTTCAAATTTGCAAACGTAAAGACCCATTTTTCCCATAGATTAGCGTTATTCTTGAGGATCCTGTTACAATTCTCCGCAGCATTTGCAAATTCCTCTATCAAATAATCGGTATTTAAGTAAATTAGTTTGAAGTATAAAATAATTAACATCATTATTAATTGGATTACATACCTTCTCCGATCAAATAAGCTAAATATCTCTCACCAAGATCTGTTAAATCAAACTTCTTACTTCCACCCCAAGCTTGAGCCTCTTGTAGTGACAACAACGCCTCTTCATATCTTGAACGATCTAATAACCAGCCTATATGATCGTCTAAATCGCGAGGTTTAGCAAGAACAAGGTCTTTAGGACTGACAACGTAAAACATGTCTTCCGAAGGAAAGTAATCAAGCGAATAATCATTCGCTTGATAATTTTGAAAGCTGTGAAGTGTTAATACATCAGTCGAAATTTCTTCATTATAAGCATCTATAATGCGTAACTCTGGACGTTTTGCACGCTATGAATTCATTAAATATATATAAATAAACGGCTTGATTGGTATATATATACACACACGAAATAGTAAACAATACACACTGATCTTTTGTATTGAGATGAATCATCGATCCCAATATCTTGCATGATTTCAGTAAGGTATGCCAAAACAAGGATCATGTCATTAAATGGTGCTATACCGCAAACAATAAATTCGGTCTGGAACCTGTATTGTTATTCAGGAAGGTATACAAACAAAAAATGTATGTCAAAATATGAAATTATATGTATAAAAAAAAAAACCAGTTCAGTGTAATATAACTCTTACATAGAAACCTCAACATGTTGAGTCGGTCGACCTGGTTGAATTTCGTGTTTAGCATATTCCTAATAGGTGAACAAAAAAATTATATATCAAGATTTCAAGAGGTCCAATATTTTACATATCTTTACCTTGACAAAGGCAGTCTGAATAAAATTTGCCCAACCAATCAATAATGTAGTTTCATTACGCCATGTAAGGTTGCAACGATACAAATCAGCTCGAGGACTATTTGGCGGACGTTTAATATATGTAATCCTTTGTTGTGATTCTATGTTGTAAATTTTTACACCCTACAAGAATTTATTGGAAAAAAAGATTCGTAAGAAAGCTATCATTAGAGTAAAAGATTTGATCAAGATATACCTCATCATTAGCATAGGCAATTAGCGATCCTTTCCATCTTACGGCACTAATTGCACCTTCTCCGGAATGTTGAAGTGTTGTATCCTGTTTGTGACCAAACCATCCTACAGGAGTCACAAACGCTAGATGAATCACCGTGCGCTATCCATTAAAATTAAAAAAGAAAATGCATATATATATAAAATTGAGGGAATATGAATTTATATACCTTTCTCGTTCAAGTATAATACACCTGACATACCACCACAAACAAATCGTTGAGTATCTTTTCGATGAAAATCAGGATCCAGAGAAATACATTTAAGAGGTCGACGGTAATTGAAGACTTGCTTCGTATCATTGAATAAACCGTGAATGATGACTTTGCCTATAAAGGAGAAACACGCTTAAGATTATATTTTTATAAAGAAATCCGGAAGGAAAAAAAAGTAAATACCATCCTGAGAAGCACTAGCGACAAATTCTTCAGTTACTTCAATGGCAATATCAGTTACTGCTGCTGTATGCGAAGATAATCGTTTGTTGAAATTTCCATCAAAATCGAGTATTAAAATATCTCCGTTGTGCGTTCCGAGAACCTTTTTTTAAAAATAAATAGTTGTTAGCGAAAAAATTAGCAATAAATGAATGAAAACTAATTAATTTGAATTTATTGAAATACATACTATAAATCTATCTGAAACCGATATTGTGCTCGCAGCGTCTTTTTTCAACAGTTCGCTAACGTCAGCATCAAGACGTTGATATTTTAACTTTGGTTCTTCTTCTTCAATCGATTCCTCTTCTGTTGTGGTTTCCTCCCCACTGTTATCGTCTTTGCCCTCGGAATCATCAGTTCCAAGTTCAAAAGAATTTCTTGTTTCATCAGCCACGTTGTCATTAATACTATCATTTTCTTCAAGATCGTGGGTTGGTTGTATAATTTCTTCGCCTTTGTCCATTTTTTGAACAAAATTAACAAAAAATTAAAAATCGACATCTATAAGTATGTATTTATAGTAGATCATATAACGTCACACAAATCAATAAATAA